GGGGCAGGGCCTGCCTTTCTGTTCTGTGTTTGTACAGCACCTAGCACACCGAAGGCTCCCACAGGCTGGGATCGTGTGAACAGTAAATGCTAATCGCAGGGACCTGGCCCACGAGGCTGTGATCCCCGGTGAGGAGGGGCAAGTTCTCCCAGGGACAGGAGGGGGCAGCCTCCTGCAAACAGCTGGTCTCACACAGGGCTTGCATCCCCAGGCTCCTGAGCCTCTGTGTTTGTACAGCACCTAGCACACCGAAGGCTCCCACAGGCTGGGATCGTGTGAACAGTAAATGCTAATCGCAGGGACCTGGCCCACGAGGCTGTGATCCCCGGTGAGGAGGGGCAAGTTCTCCCAGGGACAGGAGGGGGCAGCCTCCTGCAAACAGCTGGTCTCACACAGGGCTTGCATCCCCAGGCTCCTGAGCCGCCGAGGCATCCAAGCCCCCTGGTTGGAGGCCCCCAGTCGGAGCCTGGACCTGCCTGGGATTTTGTCCCGTGGAAACCCCTCCCGTGTGAGTCCCAGTGCCCCCGTCCCGCAAGGCCCTGGGCCTGCGCCCCAGGCTTACGTTCTGCAGCTGGTCAAAGGCGTACTCAAAGCCGGCTTTGTAGTCGGTCGTCCCCTTGGCCACCATCTCCTGCACGTCCTCCTTGAAGACCTTCTTGTTGCGGATGTTGGCCTGCACCAGGTGCTTGAAGCAGGACACGGGCTTTGCCTTCTCGTTAAACTGGAAAGCGAGCGAAATGGGGCCGAGCGTCAGCACGTGGGAGGGGGCACTGCAAGGGCGTAACCGGCAGGGGCGAGGAGGCAAATCCCCACCCATCCCATGTTGTCCTGTGTCACGGCTGTGAATGCAGACTGGTGGGAACTTGGGGGCCTTCCCAGGTCTGTGGACGCCGTGGAGAAGGCCCGCCCGCCCAGAGGTTCTCAAACTGTGACCGTGCAGGGCCACAGAGAGATCAACATCCCTTCTTCCCAGCCCCTGCTTAGGGGCTGCCGTGTTGGGGGGGAGAGGGAGAGACAGCGCTCCCCAAACGCAGCTAAAACGTAAGGGCATCTATCCCGCCACGTTTTCGTTTACATGGCGCGTGTTTGCAACACGATTTGCAGCAGGTGGCTGCAAAACGATTTGCAGCACGTTTGCACCTCGCCTGGTTGCTGAGACTGACAACCACCCAGCCCCTGCTTAGGGGCTGCCGTGTTGGGGGGGAGAGGGAGAGACAGCGCTCCCCAAACGCAGCTAAAACGTAAGGGCATCTATCCCGCCACGTTTTCGTTTACATGGCGCGTGTTTGCAACACGATTTGCAGCAGGTGGCTGCAAAACGATTTGCAGCACGTTTGCACCTCGCCTGGTTGCTGAGACTGACAACCAAGGGTGTGGTGCTACTCAGCCCGTGGGGACAGGGGAGTGTCTAACCCCGAACTCGAGGGGAGTGTGTTCACAAGTTCCGTGCGCGTCTGCCTGGAGAGCGACACTGAAGTCACAAGGTGGCCGTGCGCTCGCAGTGATTCTGCGGCACCTGGACCGAGGACAAAGTAAAACCTGTGGCCAAGCTGTGCAACCGCTGGCCAGCCCACACGTTCAAACCCAGGCCCCTGACGTTAGACTCCTCAGTGGAGAATCAGGCTCTGAACCAGCGGGATTTCGGAGGTGCTGGGCACAGCATTTCTGAATGATTTCAGTCCTGGCTGCCGTGACCTGGTACTTCTGAAAACAAGGTCCCTTGAATGTAGGAGCCTAGCTAAGGATTTAGGAGCCTGCATTTGAAAATTCTGGCCAGTCTCAGGACAAGCCAACCCAGCCAGCCATGCTGCTGTGTCTCCACCACAAAATTCCCACCGTCACGCTAATGGACACGCTCACCCCACTTCTGTTTGGATGAACGGGATGGAAAAGGAATAGTAACAATAAATCAACTACGAGAATCACCCTCTAGAAACCAGCGATTTCCAAAGAGTCTGCAATCGCAGCTTCCTTATGCTGCATTCGGCCCCGACACCCTCATTTCATGGGACGCCAGCAGCAACATTTTAGAGCTGAACATGTAGGCTTAGTAAAGATGATGATTAGAAATGCTCCCATTTTAAAGCAAGCAGCCTGGTGCCAAACAGCTTCCTTAAACAGGCACACGGCCCTGGCCACACCGGGAGAACCAGGAAGTGAAACTGACTAGAAACCACAGGGCGAAAAGCACACTGCAAACATGCCATGAAGCGGACTCCATCCTGCCTTCCGAAACTGACTAGAAACCACAGGGCGAAAAGCACATAGCAAACATGCCATGAAGCAGACTCCATCCTGCTTTCCATTCTGCTACTGATCCCAGATGCAGCCTTGCGAGGAACAGCGCACCGGGAAGAATCGTTGGCCCATCCTCGCATAGGATGTACACCAGAGACTTTTAAGCTAGCAGTTTATACCATCTCTGCTAAGAGCCTGCATCGAGAACTGGGTGATTCAATGCACGTAACATGTTCTCCTTAACAACCTCACTCTCAGGCTTTTCTTTCTTTTAATAATAAACCCTTAGATGTTAGATGCTAAAGGATCCGCTCAGCGTGATCTTGTGGGTAAGATCCAGCGTGTAAATTGTCCGGGGATTTGTGGCTGGTTCTTTGGGACTGGGAGAACCTGTTTGGGGAAGGTGAGATTGGGTTCTGTAACCTGTGTGTTAGGCCTGGGGCTGACTGTGGCACAGGGAGAGCTGAGGTGTCTGAGGGGTTTTGCTCATGAGGCTTCCTGCCGGCCGGACTGGCAGCTGAAGCGCTGGGTGTGGCTGGTGTGTGGCCTGTCGGGAAGGTCTCCAGTCGGGGGCCGTAAGGAGCCCTGGTTTTGAGCAATTCGCCCTGAGCGGATGCCCTCAGCAGTTCCCAGGCCCACTAACGTGACATGAGTACCGCCCGGATGGGACTCTGAGGCGCTTTCAGGTCCAGTCTTCCACAGGCAGGGGCTCCAGCGATTAGGGCCGCCTTCGGCTCCCCTTCTCAGCCCCACGCTTCCCGTCCCGCGG